ACCGGTTAAAAGATACAAAGACTAGATAAAGATTCTGTGGAAGCTATAAGGTCAAGTGAAAGAAACTGTTAAACTTTGTAACTACTGAAGCAATGTATACATGGTATCAAGCTTGAATGACATCCTACAAGAAAGATACTGTATTCAACCTCCTTGTAAATATAATTGTTCCTTTGTTTCATCAAGTAGTCGCCTGAAGTGTGGTTACAGATAACATCATCCACACTGCCAAACATAATTACAATGCTAAAGGTAAAGGTATTCCCTGTTGACAAAATTGTCAAGTTGTGTCCAACCATAGGTGTCGGTGCTCATCTCTGTTTCTAAGCCAAAGAGCCAGCATTGTCCAAGGACTACTCTGTGATCATGGGGCCAACAGGATTGCACAGAACGCTGTTTACCTTCCCACCAAAGTGGTACCTATTTGTCTATTTGCATTTGCATGCTTTTGAACTGCTAGGTTGGCAGAAGCTGGGACTAGTGATGGGAGTTCATCCTATCGTGTGATATCGGTTTCGTCGAACTGCCAACTTTCCGATTTTGCAATCAACAGAGTCAGCATCTTAACCACTTGAGCCACTGCATCCCTAATGCTACCAAATGCTACCAAATTTGGTAGCATTCCTAATGCTACCAAAAAGAAAAAAGACCCTCTGTTATTTCGGATGCTTCAGCTAGTGAGATAGTAGTAGTGGTTGTTACATAATTGGTGGCAGCTGGTGAGGTAGTTGCCAAGCCATCATGTAATTGGTGGCAAGGGTGGCACACAGTATAAAGGAGTTTTAAGAGATTTGGCAGTGTCATGTTGTCATCCTCATCACAATCGGTAAAATGAGGAGCCAGCTTGTTGGAGGTAATTGGCTTACAGATTGTAAACTGCTTAGAGAGTGCTTTCTGATAAGCGATATAGAAATGTAAATGCTATTGCTGTTGCTCATTGGCAAACCTTCTGTGAAAAAATCTTGCCAAGAAAAACCCATGACAGGCTTTAGGGTTACCATAAGTTGGAAACAAAACAACTTGAAGTCATGCAATGACAAATTAATTTATAAATAAAATTCACACGCAATAAATCTGAGCAACCCATCTGAGTTACTTGTAAAAAATACAAATATGAAACATGCAGCTTGAAATTACAAAAGTTCATGACTGGTGTTTATCTTTTTCTAGTTGAAAAGTAGTACATCCTTTATGATTGATTGTTTGTTTGCATTGAAAACATTTGGATTGGGCAGGGGTCCCAATGCAGCAAATTATTTTTTTTAAAATGGGAGAGGACAGGATGGCACATACCTGATTGCTCTCTTTTCTTAGATTAGAGAAAACCATAATATGAACCATAACCATAACATTCCCTCCATGTTTGGGACTGCAACTCACATAAGCTGCAGGCAGTGAGCATTGTGATAAGGGATTTGTGGGGATTGTTTCCTTCTTTTCCTCCTCCTGAAATTCTAAATTTTAAAATTCCTATTTAAAACATGAACAATTTTGGTAATGAAAAAAGGTCTGCCTCTGTTTTGTGAATTTCAGTCGTGTTGGTCCTTATTGCATATGTTTTGTTTGCAGGCTGCCACAGCATGACCTGTCACTGACTCTGTTTGGAAGAAGCACATCTTCGATCAGTTACCCATGTGCATTCTTTTCTTTAAGTTTGACCCTCGACCTGTTTCCAAAAATGCATACAGGTAATGTTCACCTCTGGTTATGCTCTTTTATCTCAATGATTGTTGCTGCTGCTTTTGGGTTATGAAAAAGCATTTGTGCAATTGCTCACTGTGCTGGCAGTGTGGTGCTGTTGTGACCTTAATCTAGCCTCCCATTTCTCTCCTAAATGGAAAACTAATGCTGTTCAGAGAGCACTGGTTTCTGTTTTTATGCCAGGGACAAGAGAGAATTGAAAAGTTACTTTTTAAAAGTAATTTGTTCCTGTTGTTCTAGTGTTTAGAAGGGAAATTGTTACCTCTTAGAATGCTTAAAGTGTGTCCACATTCATAATAATATGGGGCATGGTGATCCACAGATGATTGAATTCGCAGATGTAAAGCTCACTTAGCCAAAAGGCCAACTGTATTTTTCAGCAGGTCTGGTAAAGGTGTTTTGATGTTAGAATAATGTATCATATCATATTGTATTTATTGTTAATCATTCTGTATGCTTACATGCACACATAGTACTGCATTTAGTGATTTGGTGTTTGTTTGGGGTTTTTTCAGGCTTTCTTAAATCCAATACATAAATTCCAAAGTTTCTCTTGAAACAGTTTTGTGTGCTCTTCCTAAACTTTGCTCTCTTGTTGCCTGGCTGCACCCTTTTGACCACACTGATATTTTTGTGCCATATGTGTCCCAATTTTAATCTCTGAAGGATTTGAGGATATAAATTATAACCCCACAATCCCTTTCTTGGTCTGTTACAGCCAGCTGAGACCCCCTAAGTATATATGCATCACTTTACCCAGTATGCATCACTTTACCCTTGCTTACACTGAATCTCATTAGCTCTTTTATGCCTGTTCTTCCGATTTGGAAGGAATCTTTTGGAGCTCTTTGTTATCTGTTTTTGTTATTAATAATTTAGGGGAGATGCAGATGGGCGGCCCTCGGCCACCCCGGGAAGCGGAGGATTGGGGCCGAGGCTGCTGGACACCTCGGCCCCAACCCACCCTTTTGCTGGCCTGGAAAAGACCGGCAAAATGCTGCTCCTTTCAGGGCTGGCAAAAGGACGCCCTAAGAGCCGGCACACAGCTTTTTAGCACCCCTTCCAGCGTAGCTCGTCAGAACACTGCGCCAGAAGGACGTTCTGATGTCATGCGTAACAATGCACTGTACGTAACGGTGTGCAGCGTTGAGACGCCACCAGCGTGGGGATGAGCCGCCTGGCGTCCGGCTGCCCCTCCCCTTCCCTGTCTCCAGACCGGCCCTTAGTTCATCAGCAAGCATGGTCACCTGACTAGTCATCCCAGATAGTTTATGAACAAGTTAGAAAGCACTTACCCAATACAGATCTGTGAAGGACCCTGCTGCTTGCATCCCTCCATTGCTGGAACTGATAATTTATTCTCACTCTCTGCTTCCTCTTTAATCATTTTTGATCCATCAGAAGACTTCTCTTATCCCAAGGTTGCTAAGTACAAATAGAAATCCAGATTGGTTCAAAGAAGCATGAGTTCTTCTGGGGTTTTTGTAGGTTTTTCGGGCTATGTGGCCATGTTTGCTGGTTGTTGTTGCCTCCATGTTCACATATTCCATTCTTTTGGGAGACTGTAGTGATTTCTTGGATCTGCTATATGGCTCCCCTCGCCCACCTACCTGGCCAAAAAAACCACAAAACAACAGCACAAAACGAAAAAAACTTTGGGAATAGTTTGCTGAAGTGGCAGTATGGTCTGAAGGACAAATTTTCTCCCATCTGATTTTTTAAAGAAATGTTGTAGAGTTGTAGAGTTGAACATATAAACTCCATGTATAATGGAGTTTGGAGGAGCCTAATGTCTACCTCATCACTGTTGTTTGTGTGTTTATTGACCCTTACAAAGAGCAAAGCCAAGGCCTACACCTCAGCATCTTGACCCTTACAAAGAACTCAAAAAGGTTTGTGACACAGGACCTACCTTTGCAAAAGCCATGTTGATTCTTTTTCATCCAATCTTGCCACTCTGTGTGCTTGATGATTTTATCTTTAATAACACTTTCCGCCAATAACTTGGAGCAGACACTAAGCTAAATGACCTGTAGTTTCCAGGACCTCCCCTGCATCCCTTTTCAAAATGTAGTGTTGTATTGGCTATTCTCCGGTGCTTTAGTATAGAGGCTGACCTTAGGGACATGTCTTACAATGACTTAAATATCAGCATCCTTTAGAACTCTCAGATGAGTACCATCTGGATTTGATAGTTGTTTGATTTCTGATTTGTCACTCAGGACTGTAACTTCCATCCTTGTTACTAATATTTGCATTAGATGTGTTTTGAATTTTAAAAAATTAAAATTAAAAAAAAGATCCAGGTCACAGCCAGGCGTTGAGGGATGTGTAGCAGGTGGGTCCAGCCCTTTAAGGTCCTGCAGGGCCCCCCTTCCCCTGGCAATTCCCCATCCCTGCTTTACACACTTGTGTAAAGAGACATTCCTTCATAGTTGTGGTTCCTCCTTTATCCACATTGCAATACACCACTTTGCCTCACTACCAAACAACAGCCGGAATGGTCACCAGCACTGAAATCAGGGGTAGGCAACCTTTCCCCTTTAAGGGCTGAGGGAAGCCTCAACCATGTTGGC